AATAAATATTTGATTATTATATAAAAAACAAAAAATCTATTTGTAAAAGAATTTATTTTTATCTTTTGGTATGTTGTCGTGATGAAATGCATCAAGAAATAACTTAACAAAAGAAAAAAAAATAGCTGAAAACGATAGTGATGATGCATAGTTTATTGTTGAATTAGTCGAAGAATAACTGAATAGATATTATGTATATTGCTTAAAAAATTTGTTTTTCTCACGTCGAACAACTGTCATTAATAACACATTTTCATAGCTGTGGTTTTTTTTTTTTCTAGATCTACAAATATAGGTTTGCATCTTTCTCTCAACGTTTCTATTATTAAAAATAACGTATGTCTTAAAAGGAAAGAACCAAAAAAAAAAACACCCAACTCGATTATGACAATAAGTTTTTTTTCTTTTTCTTTAACAAAAGCGTTACCACAGGCCGTTTATATGAGGGTAACGTATCTACATTGTGATTACGGTATATGTTGTCCTTCTATTCGCTTTAGTTATTCTACTGATTGTATGATAACGATATTAGACTAACAAGGACGTGTATATAATATGTTTTGTTTAAACGATGAACTATCAATAACAATAAACTAACATTTATATTGATTAAGAATATTTATAATATATTTGTTTTTTCTTATAATCAATATTCATTTATATAAAGGTATAGTTAATTTATATGATTTTTCTTCTTTCTTCTTTCTTTTAATATATAATTAATTAATAAAATAGAATAATTGTTTATTTAATTAAATAAATAAATGAATATAAATAATATTTAGATAAATAAAAAAATGTCAAGTAAAGTAGATGAAAATGAAAAAGAAAAAGAAAAAGTAAAAGGTCTTAAAATTTATATATCTCAACCATGGGAATTGGGCAAGACATGTTTTCTATTAGTTACATGGATTATTCTGGTTTGTTTTATTTAGAATAAATTATATATTTCTATATAAAAATGTTCCTAGGGTATGCATTTGGAATTAGTTGGTCCAACAATAAATGTTTTAGCTCGAAAAACAGGAGTTGCATATACTGGAATAAGTAATATATTAATGACACGTGGTGCTGGTTATATGGTTGGAAATATAGTTGGAGGAATAACACAAAATATTGTTAAACAACATCCTGAAGGTTTATTATCATTTGCATTTTTGATTGCAGCCATTAGTTAGTTTAGATTTAAAAATTTATTTTTTCTTTGTTTTTTTTTGTTTAATTAAAATGATAGTTTTTCTTTTTTAGCTGTTCTTTCAACACCAGCTATTTCTGATTTAGTTATTCTATCAATAGTATTTTTCTTTCAAGGAATTTCTCAAGGAGTATCTGATCTTGGTTTGTTATTAATAAAAATTCTCTTTTATTTTTTATTTATTCTCTAAATCTAATTTTTATTTTAGGTGGAACAAGTTTAATGTTAACAATGTGGGGTGATAATGTTGCTGCTCCACTTAATGTTGTTCATTTAGGTTATGGTTTTGGTGCTGTTTTTGCTAATTTATTTGTTCAACGATTTGTTGGTGAAGATATTAAAAATGATAAATTATTAAATAATTCAACAATAATAATAGAAGAAAAAGGAGAATCAAATATTCTAGTACCATATTCAATAACATCATTCCTTTGTTTATTAATATCAATAGGTCATTTAATATTTTCAATACGTGAACATCGAATTCGACGTGAAGCTCTTCGAAATCGTCGAATAAATTATGCATCTGTATCAACATCAGCTCTTAATGAAATAAAAGAAGTTAAAATAAAAAATGTCTCACAATATTCTCCACGATCATGTGGAAATGGTTATTTTACTTATGGTTTATTAATGTCAATATCTTGGATATTTTATATGTTTTTTGTTAGTGGAAATGATTTAACATTTGGAAAATTTTTTTTTGCCTATCTTAAATCATCAGAATTTTCAATAACAACATCAGGTGCTGTTTGGGGAATGATTATTTATTGGCTTTCTTATTCGGTTTGTAGTTTAAATATTAAAATAAAGGGAAAGAAAAAATAATATAGATATGAGTTTATTTTTTATTTCATTTTAGGTTGGTCGTTTAATATGTGCAATAACAGCGATATTTATTCCAGTTCATGTAGCAATAGGCATTCTATGGATTTGTGGATTATTATTAGCAATAACATGGTTTATATTTGTATGGATTATTGGTTTAACCAGTACAAGTATTTTTGTTCTTGGAGCATTTACTGGTTTTATTTTTTCTCCAATATTTCCATTATCATTTGCATTTATAAATCAACGATTAAATGTAAATCCACTTCTTGTAGGTCTTCTTTTATGTGGTTCAGCATTTGGTGGTATGATACTTCAAAAAATTGCGGGTAAATTTTTATTTTTTCCATCTTTTTTCTTTTGATGAAAAATATTTTTTTATTCTAATAATAATAATAATAATAAAAGGTGTTGTATTGGACAAAAAACCAAATCATTTTCCAACATTATTAATGACATGTGTTGTATTAGCAATTATATTTTTTGTTATGGCATTTATAATTAGTTCAATTCATCAAAGAAATTTAAAGTTGAAAAAAATTTCTCTTCCAATATCGGATTATAAAAATGTTTCAAAAAAAAGTGAAGAAGAACAACAAATGGAAACATATTTAACAAAAGATGAACAAAATAAAAATTAACTTCAATTAACTAGACTTTATTTCACTTTATTCTCTCATAGATTATATTAAATCAAATTCAAAATTTATTTCTCCTTACCTTATTAAATAAAATAATATTAAAAACTTATATCTTAGAAGATATATTCAACTAGAACTAAAGTATTTTCAATTTGTTTATTCACTTTCTCATCATATCTAATACAATTATATATTTAGTAGATAATGTCACTAGAACTTTTATTCTAATTTACTATATTTAAGTATAGGAATTTTTTTTTATATGTATTTCTATCTTAAGTTAAATCATTTCAAATCTTTGTTTATTAAATAGGCGATATTATGATTTTCGACAGTTGAACTTCAACTTTTATAAATAGGATATCCTATTTATCGTTACTTCGATTTTCATTTCCAACGAGTACGAATAGACTTAACTCTTTATAATTATGCTTGTTTCAAAGAACACTCGAAACGGTCTTGACAAAGTTTTTATTCCCTATAATGTCAATTGACAAGAGGTCCTTAGATTTTTATCAACGGAATTTAAAAATATTTACGATCTCCGAAGAATGCAAAACGAAATTCCAAATGGATAAGAACAGAAATTGAGGTATAACTCTTGAGACCTCGATATATGCTTGTCATTCTTACGAACGAAATCCTCGAGTGACAAACTGTTTTAGGAACTTCTTCTTGAATTAATTTTGACATGTTCGACATATAGATAGAAATTAATATTATTTTAATTGTCATGTGCTTCAGATAAAGCCTATATTAGAAAGAAAAACACAAGAAGATTTACGATTATGATTTCTATTATAGCTGTATCATAAAATTAGATAATCGTTTATTTAAGAATATGATTGCTTGGTGAACATAATTGATGATAATAGATTAATTATAGAATATTTTCGATTAGAAAAAAATAAGTCTTACGCTTTAAATCACAATACATAATAACTGGATGTTCTTTTGTTTTATTTTGAAGAATTTATATTAATTTGGATTTCTCATTTATTTATAATGAAAATCGTAAAAACGACATTTACTTATCATGTTATGTTGTGTTTGAGGTTATTAATAACAATGAAGTCTTGGTAAAGCGTCGATATCTGTTTTCAAAGTGAGAATTTTTACTTGTGAAGACAAGATATTAAACCAACATCTGACATATAGTCAACATCAAAAGTCTGGCCTCCTGTTTTTTGTTTCGTGTCATGTTTGAAAACTAGACAGCATTAATTTGATTTCGTAACATGCCTGTAAAGTAGAGGTCGCGTACTATACATATACACCTGTTCAATACGGAAGACTCTTAAATATAAAATACAATACAAAAAACAAACTTCAATGCTAAGAAAAAATGGAAAGAAAAAAGACAAAATGATATTGGTGTGACAGGAGACTTTCATAGTCAGGCAACCATAAAACAAAAAATATTCAAAAAGCTTTTCATTCTATCAGACTTTGTAGAGGTTTGTTCCATTGATCATATTGATACAAATGATGGTGTTATAATCCCCCTCTCACCAGAGTAGAAGACTCCTGCGGGCAAAAAGTTTGAAAGATGTATTAGAAGACCCACCTATATTAGAAGATCCATTCAATATAAGATTATTCTGTGGCAAAAATTTGAAAGATGAGTTAGACGATCTGAATCTTCTTACTTGACAAAAATGCTTGTCTTGCGTTGTTTATGTTTTAATTGAATATCATATGACGAGTTTTTTTTCGCATAGATTGTTTGAGACTGATATTTGTTTCAAAGAGAACATAAAACAAAGAAACAAAAGAAGAACAATTGTATTAATGAGAGAAGAGAAAAAAGTTCTCTTTTTCTCTCGACTAGACGAGAATGTGACGATAAAAAGAGTACGCTTCTCACGTCAATGAACTCATAATAACATGTCGACTAATGATGATAACGTGGATTTATTATCATTGAATGATTATAATGATTTTGAGAATTCTTCAAATGCATCAGAAGATGATTCAATTGAAGTAGCGTCAAATGTTGATGAACAAGAAAATCAAATTATTGATATGACTACATATTTAGAATTGAATAGTAGTTCTGACGATGCATTAGAAATGAATGGTGATGATAACTATAGTTCTGTACTTACTGTTGATAATAAACGTTCTTTCTTCGATGATATTAACGATCATTGTGATACACTTGATGATGCATGTTCACAATTTAATTCAGATGCATCAAATGATGATGATAAACTTGAATATCATGCATTAAGGCGCCACGTGCGCGAACAGCAAACGTAATCCCGCTCCCATTACAAGCGGCNCTTGGATCAACAGGTGTACTTGGTGGACGAGCTATTAAATCATCTTTTATAGATATTATTGTACCTGATGATGTTCGACGTTCAGATAAATTATCTTGATAATCTTTTCTAATTGTTGTTGCTGTTGTTGTTGTTGTTGCTGTTTTTGTTTTTGTTAAAATAATCGATTTTTAAGTTGTTTTATTGAATTGTTAATTTTTGTTTTGATTTTTATTTGAAAACAAAAAAGAAAAAAAAAAACGAAGAAAATTTATTAAATAAAAAAGTCAAGTCATTAGACAAATATATAATTGTTAAATTGACATTTGAATATATAAGTTGAAGATATTATTATATTATTAAATATATTGACTTATTTGTTTTTCAAATTTTAATTATTATTTTAATTATTAAATAAAAAGGTTTATTTTTATTTTAATTCTTATTTATATAATATATATGTATGTTATTAAATAAATATGAAAACATATTATTTTTCTCAATATATTTTATCTTTTAAATTAAAATTAAATTATAAATAATCGTTTGTGTTTGTTTTTTTTTTCCTATAAAATATTGTTTTTTTTATTCGTTAGATAAATGTTAATAAAATATTGGTTAAAAAAGAAAAAAAAGAAAAAAGAATGACATCATCGTTGTTAAAACAAATTTCCCATGTATATATACCACTTCAACTTGATTTGCTTTTCTTTCGAATTGTGTTCTTGTTCTCGTCTTCATTTCTTTCTTTTTTTTTGGCTTCATAAAATGTTTTTTTATAGAATGTAATTATTAGGTAAACGAACACTGAACGAATAAGAATAAATGTTGAAGTGAAAAGAAAAGTAGAAGAATAAGAACAAGAACAAGAAGAAGTAAAACAAAAAAAAAAAGAAAAACGATCGTTTAGTTTTGCGATAAAATAGTTGTAAAAAGAAAAGAAGAAGAAAATTGATGGTGCAGTCTGATGTTCCACGAACTAGAACAAAATCAGGTAAAGTTAATGCAAGATGGTATTTACAAAGATTAAGATCATCGGCTGCTGCTAATCGTTATAATTATTTTAATAATTCTATTGATAATAATAATAAAATAAATGAATATGATACAATACGAGTTGTACGTGGAAGTACAGCAACACAAGGTCAACATATTCCAAGAATTTATCTTAAATCACCAACAAAATCATTTTATAAAGAATCAATTAAACAGGTTTTTGTTTTATATTTTTATATTTTAATATTTTAATATTAATCTTATATTTATAAATAAATATAGAAATATTCTAATAATCATTGTTCAACAACTTCAATTAATATACCTTCAGCTACATCTTTTAAAACAACATCAACTAGAAATAAAAAATCTCCTTCATTAAATGAATTTAATTCAAATAGTTATCAATCAGTAATAACAACAACAACAACAACAACAGCAACAACAATTAGAAAAGATTATCAAGATAATTTATCTGAACGTCGAACATCATCAGGTACAATAATATCTCTAAAAGATGATTTAATAGCTCGTCCACCAAGTACACCTGTTGATCCAAGATGTCATAGAGCTTATTCGTCAACAACAAATCCTATTGATCGTGAAACATGTATTTTACTTGGACCACAATTATGTTCAGATTGTATTGAAATAAAAACACGAGCGAATTTATCACCAGAACGTTTACCACCTAGTTTAATACATCAACGTTTATCAGCATTAGCTATAAGACGTTTTTTAAAAAATGAACAAAATTTAAGTGATGATGATTTATTAAAAATGGTTAATAATCAAAAAATTCAAATGACAAATAAATATTCAAATGAATTAAATTCGTCAATTATGTCTGATGATGAATATTTTGATCGTTTATCATCGTCACTTAGTCAAAATCTAGGTGAAAGAGGATTTTATTTCAAAAATTTAAAAGATTTTTCTCTAAAATATCAATCAAATAAATATAATCGTTTATTATTAAGTGAAACTCCATCTCCTCAATCATCAAATCCTGTATTTAAAAAAAGTTCATTTGAAAAATTTGATTCATCATCAAAATATTCTTATATGAAAAAAGGTTCAACTATAAAACCAAATTTAAAATCTAATGCATTTACTTTTTTATCAACAAGAAAAACTGAAGAATTTTATCGAGATTATAGATATTTAAATAATTATTCTCCACCATTACTTTTAC